GTTTTTTCTTTTAGCAACACTAACAGTCATATTGTTACTTGATGGGCATTTTTGTTTGTATCTATGCCAGACACCGTGCTAACTCTGACCCAGAATATCTTTCTTAATGAAATATTCCACTTGGTCTAGCCTTCACTAGGTTAGTGTTTAGCCCTCAGTGGTTTAGTGGACGAGTCCTAAATTCCTCCATGGTCTTGTTTTATGATTGGGGAATTGATTATGTATTATAACTTTATATCTGGAAGGCAGAAATTGAAAAGTAATAAACTCCCATTGACCCAGACTAGATAGGAATTGTTTTTACCTGAGAGTTACTACTATGTCAGTGATAGATGACTCAAGTAAAACACAGTAGCATTAAATGAAATGCATTGGGTATGATTTAATTTTATTTTCAGGTATCACTGTAGATTGTTCAATTCCTTGAGATTGATATTTTGAACACTAACTATTGTGGAGTCATTGCAGAATATTATTTGGAACTTCTGCTTCTCTCAGGCTGTTGTCTGTTCCATAGTAACTTAGTAAGAAGGTTAGCGATGGTTAGGATTTAAATAAGATCATGAAAGGAGATTCCATAATTGTTAGTTTCCTCTTTTGCAAAGTGGAAATAAGAACTATCTTATGGACTTTTTTGGAAATTTTATATATAAGTTTATCTCCTAGGTTTTACCCTTTTGTTAACTTTGAGATAAAATATCCACAACAGAGTGATAAATGCCCTTGTCAGTAGCAAGCCCCTGTAGGGCTGTGAACAGACCAGTGAAGACCTGTTTACAATCCCAACCCACCTCACCAGACATAATTCCCTATGAAAAACTAGACCACACCTCAGACATAAATTGTAAGGGTTCAATAAAGATTTCAACAGCTAAATCTTTAAAAACTAATGTGAATTTTTTTATCGTTATGTATCGTATATATCCTATTGATTTTTGTTGTTGTTAAGTGCCGTTGAATCGGTTCCAACCCATAGCGACCCTGAACAGGGTTTCCGAGGCTGTAAATCTTTACAAGAACAGAAAACCTCATCTTTCTCCCGCTGAGCAGCTGGTAGTTTCGAACTGCTGACCTTGCAGTTCGCAGCCCAATTCGTAACCACTATGCTACCAGAGCTCCTGGATATATATGATATAAAATCTATTCAATATGATTTCTTTATATTTTTAATTGTCTAACATCCTGCACGGGACTACAGTTTGAGCCACAGGGTCAGTGGTTCAAATGCACCAACCACTTCTCAGAAACGCTATAAAGGGTCACTATGAGTCGGAGCTGACTCAACAGCACTTAACAGCAACAACAAACATTAGTAGTAAACATTTGTTATTATTGTTGCTTAGTGCCCTCAAGTAGTTTCTGAGTCATAGCGACCCCCTATAGGGTTTCCAAAGAATGGCTGGTGTTTGAACTGCCAACCTTGTGGTTCAAAATGACCTTTTGGTCCAGTGCTGATCCTACTGTGCCACACCAGGACTCCAGTAAACATTTAGACATTTAAAAGCAGTTAGCCATCATATGCTTTTAAAAGTATGTTCTGATCTTCGCTTTGGTGGTGCTGAGGTATCCAGGGCTGACGTGGAATATTTGAAGGCACCACTCCGCTTCACCTGGAGGCCTTGGATTGTTGCATTGTAGAGTGAAGTGGGATTGAGGAGCCCAGCTCCTCTAGCCTCTCACTGACAGACACACAGAGGCATTCTCCACTCCTAGTGGAAACCACATCCTGGGATGGTGAAAATGGTTAACACACTCAGCTGCTAAATGAAAGACTGAAAAGTTCAGACCACCCAGAGGCACCTTGGAAGAAAGACCTAGACATCTTCTTCTGAAAAATCATCACTGAAAGCCCTGTGGTACACAGTTCTTCTCTGACACATCTGAAACTCCTGTAGGTTGGAATCAACTCAATGGCAACTGGTTCTTAGTGGAGACCATGGAGGCAGACCAAACAATCTCTCCTTCAGTTCAAATAGGATTGTTTCCAAGGTTCAATTTGGTGAATGAATTGACAGATATCATTAGGTCTGAAAATAAGTGAGCTTGCTATCAAAACTTGGAAAATTAGTATTTTTTTAGCTTTCGATTAAATTTGCTAGACCAGAAAGCCTACGCAGGAGAACACAGTGGTAGGGAACACCACTGGGCTTTGGAGTGGGGCAACCTGGGACTGGAGCAGCCAGCTGCTTCATTCCAGTCTTCAAATTCAGTATCTCCTCCTACTCATTGATTAAAACCAAACTAAACCAGATATTGTCAAGGCAACTCTGACTCACGGTGGGCCCATGCGTGTCATTGCAGAACTTTGCTCCATAGGGTTTTCAGTGGATGCGTTTTTTGTTTTTGTTTTTAAAATAGATCACCAGGCCTCTGGGGAGATTCAAACCACCAACCTTTTGGTTAACAACTGAGCATGTTAACCAGTTGTAATTCCCAGGGACATGATCAATTTAATGGCAATATTTTCTTTGGTGATGGGAAGGAACTGAAATCTATGAAACCATTGGTACATATTGACTGAAAAATCTATCTCAGAATTCAAGAAACATAGTACTGTATAATTTCTTGTTTGTTAAAATATGATAACACTAATCCTGATGTGGTGCTGCAGGTTATTAAACTGAACTGAAAGGTTGGTTTGAGCTGCAAGATCAGCAGTTCAGGCTCACCAGCTGCTCCACAGAAACCCTATACAGGGTCACTATGAGACAGAATCTACTTGACAGCGCTTAACAACAACAACCCTACCTCTTGGATTATTCTAGTGATCAAAGGAGTTCTGGTAGCATAGTGGTTACAAATCGGGCTGCGAGCCACAAGGTCAGTAGTTCAAAACTACCAGCGGTTCCATGGGAGAAAGATGACGTGGTCTGCTCCTGTAAAGATTTATAGCCTTGGAAACCCTGTGTAGGGTCACTCTGAGTTGGAGCTGACTCCACGGCACAAAACAACAACAACAACAACAAATGAGATAACACATCAAATGTGGCATGCACCACTGAGTAAATCTCTTTGGTGATATTAACACCAACTCTCACAGTATTTAACTACAAGGTCAGGGATTCAAACCCACCAGCTGCTTCTGTGTAACCCTACACAGGGACACTATGAGTCAGAACTGGCTCAAAGGTACTTAGCAGTAACACCATTTCTGGTACCCAGCAGTTATTTATTTTTCTGATAATTAATATTTAATTCCAAGATCCTTATTTTTACTTGGAAGTCCTTTGATACTTTGGGATGGGGGAACTGAATAATGTTTATCAGGTTCCAAATTTGTACTAAGGTAAGGTTCCTAATCATGGGTTCTATAAAAACCAGTACAATCATTTTCAGAATAAGTATCCTGAATTTGCTAATATAATTTTATTCTTTTTCAGACTCTAGTTATCAAAGTGAAATAAGGTAAGTATGAAATCCCATCAATTTTCTGAAAACAACAGCACATATATACACATACACACACACACACACACACAAATGAAAACAAAACACTGGGATCTTAGGATTTATGTTTCTGAAAATAAAGTGCTGAGAATGGAAAAGACTGAAAAGTGTATATGCCAATGAATCATAAATTCCTGGGACAAAATTAATTGGTTGAATCAAATAGGGGATTTACTTCTGTCTATGGTGTAGCTCTATAGAATAAGCACTGGACCACAAGGTCCATTTGAACTGCAAAGTCAGCAGTTCAAACCCACCAGCTGTTCCTCAGAAATCTTACACATGCTTTGAGTTGGAACCGACTTGACGGCCCTTAGCAGCAACAACATGGAGTCCCAGTGTGGCACTGCTAACCACAAGGATGGCAGTTCAAATCCACCAAATGCTCCTCAGAAACCATCTACAGGGTGCCTGTGAGTCAGAATAGACTCTACAGCACTTAACAGTACCAACAAATACCACCTGTCTAGGATCATGATCTTGTTGTTGTTGTTAGGTGCCATCGAGTTGGAACCAACTCATAGTGACCTTATGCATAGCAGAACGAAACACTGCCCAATCCTGGGCCAACCTCACAATTGTTGCCACACTTGAGTCCATCGATGCTGCCAGTTGGCCAATCATCTCGTTGGGGGTCTTCTT